TGTCTTCAACTTCAAGTTGAACTTGCATATGATCAGTTGATGATCTGTTCCACAATCAGCTCCTGGCCTTGTTTTGTCTGAAGATACTGAGCTTTTCCATCGCTTCTTGCCACAGATGTAGTCAGTCTGATTCCTGTGTGTTCCATCTGGCAAAGACCACGTGTATAGCCGCCATGTGTTGTTGAAAAAAAGTATTTGCAATGAATAAGTCATTGGTCTTGCAAAATTCTATCTGCAGTCTCCATCATTGTTTCTGTCACCAAGGCCAGATTTTCCAACTACAGGTGATTCTTCTTAGTCTTGGAAATTACATAGCATCACTTCCACCACATTGTGTTTCTTCTAAGTGAGTCGTGTAAGACTGGCCCATATTCAGAGGAAGGGGAATTGGACTCTACTTTTTGGAAAAAGAATTTGTGGACATATTTTAAAACTACTACAGGACCTAGATTGTTTTGTTTCTTCTTCCTCAAGGAGCACTGGTAGCGCTGTGGTTAAGGCATTGCGCTGCTAACCAAAAGGTCAGTGGTTTGAACCCACCAGCTGCTCCATGGCTGTAAAGATTTATCAGCCTCGGAAACCTTCTGGGCGTCACTATGAGTCAGAATTGACTCTGTGGCATTAGGATTGATTTGCTTTTTGTTCTTCATCTTTCAGGAAAAAAAATAGCAGTTAAGCTTTAAGAAAAACAAAAAGCTGTAAGGAAACTCCTGTCAAAGTATGAAGCGAGCTAAAATGTATGATTAAGCAATTGATGATATGTTTTTAAAAGATGTTTGAACTTGACACTAGTCTTCTTACCATTAAATGGCATAGAGGGCGTGGCTCTACACCTTAGGGAAGGAAACAATGTTGCACACAACTTAGCTCTGCAGGAACAATACTTGTAGTCAAAAAAATATATATTGATTGACTTTTCAGAATAAACTACAGACAGGACAGCATAGGAGCTGTTAGCCTTGACAGTGTGAAATGAGAGGTGGTTGACAGAAGTGAAGGTGCTCAGACCTGTCAAAACCTTTAGTAGCAGAATTCTCCCCCATTAAATTAAGGACCTTGTTTCAATCTTACCAATTAGTAGTGATCAGATTTGTGTTTTCAGTATAGCACTAATTGAAACACAGAATTTAGGTTAATAATGATGAACCTTTTCCTTGGCTTTCCTGGCTCATGCTGTACCAGAACAGAAGACAATCTGGACTTTTTTAAATCGCGGTGGTTACATTGAGTGAAATGTGGGTCAGGGTTTCTTTCTCTGCCTGAGGAGGAGAATCATAACCTTAATACTGTTCTCTCTCCTGACAGGTGGGTGGGATTAAAGACAAAGTGCTGGCGGCGCACCGAGCAGGACTGAAGCAGATCATCATCCCTCAGAGGAACGAGAAGGACCTGGAAGAGATCCCGGGCAACGTGCGGCGGGACCTGAGTTTCGTCCCAGCCGGCTGCCTGGATGAAGTGCTCAACGCAGCTTTCGATGGTGGCTTCACTGTCAAGACCAGACCTGGTGGTCTCTTAAATAGCAAATTATAGGCCCCAATCTCAGCTGCTCAGAATTTTAAGTTACAAAGTGTTAAAAAGTACTGACAGCATTAATTTTATTCACAGCAGTAGGGGTAAGAAAAATGTCTCTAATCTATGAACATAACTCACAGTAATAATGAACTCAGGTGGCATGGCTAGTGTTGATAAACAGTTATTAGATGCAGATTTAATAAATTGATAAAAATGGAATTCTTCCTTGTCGTTGGTGGGATTTCGGCCATCCCTGGAAAGCTGCAGCACAGTGGTTTTCAGTGTGCACTGCGGACAGAAGCATCCTTGTCACCTGAGGACTGTTGACCGATGCCATCAAGCTGGTTCTGACCTGCGGCCTCGTGTGTGTCAGCGTAGAGCTGTGCACCACAGGGTTTCAGTGGCTGATGTTTCAGAAATAGATCGACAGGGCTGTCCTCTGATCCACCTCTGTCTGGACTCGAACTGCCAACCTTTCAGTAAGCAGCCAACCACATTAACCACTTGGACCACGCAGGGACTCCAAGAACTTGTCATGTGTGGTGAAGTTGATCCCTACTCAGAGCCTATAGGGCAGGGCAGGGTAGACTGCCCCATAGGGTTTCCTAGGCTGAAATCTTTATGGGAGAAAATTGCCAGGTCTCTCCCACAGAGCAGCTGGTGGGTTTGAACTGCTGACCTTTGAATTAGAAGCCAAGCACTTGAGAATATGTTAAGAGATACATAATTCTCAGGCCTATGAAATTAATGCTGGGAATGAGGTCGAAAAATCTGTTTCAGTAGGTTCTGCAGGTGACTTTTACTGATGCACAGTAAAAATTCTAGAAGCGTTTGTATAGAACATTTCCTAAACAGATTCACCTGTGGGCTTAGAAGGGGAACCAGAATTGGAAATACAGTCAACTATTAGTCCTTGTGGAGGATGAAGTGCTCAGCAAACCGTACAACTGATGAGGTCTGCACATCCCAAACTAGGTTCAGTGCAGGGATGGAGCACTGCTAACTAACAGGATCACTTAAGTTGGACCAAGCAGCAAGTTGGACCAAGCGGCTGGCCCTGATGCCTAAATGCGAATTACTACCTACCCTTCTGTTTGTTTGCCCACCCTTCCCAGATCCCACAGCCAGCCATTTCTTCTCCTGAGGCAAAGCACACACATTTATGCGTGCACATATCTAGGAGCTCTGGCAGCATAGGCCACCGCCACAGAGCCAGAGAGAGAGATTTCAAGGTTGGGTTTCGGAGGCACTATCGCTATGGAAGTAGATTGCCCCATCTTCCTTCCGAGGAGTGGCTGGTGGGTTTGAACCACCAGCCTCCTGGTTAGGAGTCAAGTGCCTTAGCCCACTAGGCTACCAGAGCTCCTTCTTACAAGGGAAGAAAAGAAACAAGCTATGATTGTTAATTCCTTTTCAGCAACCAGAGGGAGCTAACCCACACGCAAACTGCTCTGCTGTTACTTAAGTGCATGGTTCCACCCAGTAAGTGGTAACAAAGAACAGAACCTTTTCTTAAAAAGTTGGCATTCTCTGTTTTTCATCGAGAGCTTTGCATTTATTTGTAAGCAGCATTAGGGCATCTTCTGAGCCCTCGTTTTAAGCATGTCTTAGGCATTTGACTGTTAAACAGAAGGTCGGTGGTTCAAAGCCACCAGCTGCTCCATGGGAGGACGATGAGGCAATCTACTTCTGTAAGATTTAGAGTCTTAGAAATCCAGTGGGGGTCGCTATGAGTTAGAATCGACTCAGTGGCAGTGGGTTTGGTCTTCTGCTTTTTCTTTGTAAAGGAGCCTACTGAGGAAACCTGGATGCTGTGTGAAATTGGAACAGCATGCCTTGATTTCTCCAACACTGTTTTTAAGTTGTTGTTCCAAAGACTCTCGTTATCCAACAGACCCAATCAGTGGGACTTAATTGAAAACATGATACCATCCAGGGGGTTGAAGCCTTGGAACCTTGTGTTTAACCAGTATTCCACAAGCTTTTTATGCACAAGCTTTTAAAACTCAACTATTAAAACCAAATAAATCTTTTAAGTGCTTTGGTTATCAAGAAACTTTACATTGTCTGCTTGAGGAGCACAAGTCTTTACTTGGGCTTGTCCCTTGTGTCAGAACCAACCCAACGGCAGTGGGTTTTGCTTTGGTTTCTGTTTGAACCTTACCACAAACCATACATCAACGGCCAAGATCCCTAGTCACTTTATTCATGTGCAGATAGAGCTATTCAAGTGATTGATCCTAAAATAGTATCACTTATTTATAAATCTGTAACTTTAGTAATACTGAAGAAAGATAGCTGAGAGTTTTTAAAGAAGGAAAAAGTATAAAGTAGATGTAGCCTTCTCTTTCATTCCTTTGGCACCTATCAAAATTTGCCTTCTGGCCACATCAATGCCACAGATCCGCTTCATAAAAACAGTTGGGAGGTCACTGGGTTTTCCCCAGTGCCATCTCCAGTTGTGTGGGGTAGTAGCTGCTTGAAATGCAGGGGATTCTGGTACCACGAGTGATCAGCTGTGTCTGCCACCATAGGGTTGCTGCCGACCAGACAGCACACAGCACCTCCACCACCGCACGGTCCCTGTAGTAAGCGCCTTTGGTCCACCATACCTTCAGGACTGATACCAAGCATGCTGTCAGATTATCAACTGCTAAGAGTAAAGGGAAGGAGCTCTGGTGGTGTAGGGGTTAAAGGATCCGGCTGCTAACCAAAAGATCTGCGGTTCGAACCCACCAGCTGCTTTCCAGGGGATAAATGAGGCAGTCTGCTTCGTAAAGATTTACAGCCTTGGGACCCAGTTCCGCCCTGCACTATAGTGTTGCTGAGTTGGAATTAACTCAGTGGCAGTGGGTTTTGTTTGAGAGTTAAGGGGGTTGACTTTTACTATTTTATTTTATAAACTGCTGAAATGAGTAAACGTCACCATTAGGAGGGCTGCCACAAAGCATGTAACTTGCCAATACCCTTTCCATATCCAAAATTAAACTGGAATTATTAGATGTCAACATCAAGTTTTCCTGCTGCTGTTTTAGGTACATTCATGCTCACATTATTTCGATGCAGACAAGAAGTACTTGAGCCCTTACCGCCATGAAAAGTTGGTTAGCAGCTTAAAAAGTAGACACTATGGAAATACAAAAGTGTAGTCATTATCTAGTTTGATGCTTCATGGTCCAATGCTAATGTTCTTTTTGTTTGTTTTACTAATGTTTAGTGGATCCTGAATTTAAAAAGAAAAAAAAAGGAAACGAGCAAAGGATCTGAATAGACTGATCACTGATCCATGAAATGTTTTAAAACAGTTTTATCAAAAATGATTTTTAAAAACACATTAAGGAAAGTTTTGCCAAAAAAAAAATCACTTACTTGGAACACATTTCATCTGATTGCTATCAGAGATCTATAATTCTTTAGTGTGTCTAATATTCTGGGGCTTTATTTTAAATCAAGTACAAAATGTAACATACTTTGAGTACATTTCTCACGATACAAACTTAAACCCTTTAAACTGAATCCTAATCATAATATGATTGACAGTGTAAACCTATCAAGATGTAATCTTATAAAAGACCTGTGCTTCCGGAATGAATCAGCCAGTGGAGCCCTAGGGAGCAGTTACACTCTGATACACGTGGGGGGGTCAGCATGCAGCAGTCGACTCAGCAGCACTGACTTCAATGGGTGTTGGTAGGTGTCAGGTGGAGGCTGACTCCCGGTGGCCCCGTGTGCCATGTATGTATCCTCTGGTGAAATGTCTGCTCAGTCCCTTTGCGCATTTTTTATTGGACTGTCTTTTGTTGAGTTGTAATAATTCTTTGTATCTTCTGGGTATTAAACCCTTATCAGGTAATATGGTTCTCAAAGACTGTTGTAATCTGTAGTATGTGTCTTAATACAGTTTTTGGATAAATGTTTTTATTTTTTAAAATATTTTAGTATCACAAGCAGTAAACCACCAAATAACCCTCTCTGTTTGGAACACAGACACTGGGTGGGTGGGGAGAATGACAGCAGCTCAAGCAATGGCTCAGTCTACAGGTTTCCACTAGCACTTTATCTGTCCCTTTCTTGTACAACCTAAATTACTACAGGACTAACTGGAGAGTCAGGCTCTACTCACTGGATTGTGTTCCGATCTTACTCTTTAGTCTAATGCAGCAGTCACAGACTGACCTCAACTGTGTTTAGTTTGACCCAGTGTTTTTCTTTAATTTGGATTACAACTTTTCACTTAGAAATCTAAAAGCTTCTGAGCTATTATACTGCCACACTGTTGTTTTTGGTGAGCCGAGCTATCTATAGCCATTCACCTAAGTTTAAAGTTTACAGAAATATGAGCCTTAGAAAAAGTTACACAAGTCCATCAACAGATAATGGATAAACAAGGTCTATACATACAATGGATTATCATTCAGCCATAAAGAAAGGTCAGATACATGCTATGTATCACATGGATAAAAAGCTCGAAAACATGCTGAGTGAAAGAAGTCAGACACGAAAGGACAAATACTGTATGATCCCACTTATATCAAATATCTAGAACATACAAATGCATAGAGACCAGAGTTTATTAGTAGCTAGCAGGGGGCTGAGGGAGAGGGGAATGAGAGTTGTTGCTGCGTAAAGGGAAGTGCCTTTGTTTGGGTGATTAAAAACTGTAAATGGATAGTGGGTAATGATCATAGTGTAGTATCACTGAATTTATACACTTAAAGTGGCAAATGTTTGTGTGCTTGTTTCAAGTCATACATGCTATAATAAAAATCACTCCAAGGAAAAGTTGTTCCCCAAACTATCATTAACTTATTAAACTGATCCATGATTCACTTCAACAGGACAAATTCAAGCTTCAGAATATAAAACAAGAGTTAAAGCGCATTGCCTCCCCCTCACTCCCACACTCCCCTGAAAGAAGCCACCAGAACAGGGGCACAAAGAGGAGGAGAGGACTCACTGTAACAAAGGCAACCTAAGAATGAGAGAGTTAAGTTTATAAATCCAGTCTCAACAGGGACCAAGAAATGTGGCTATAGACATCATTTCTGTAGGCCAAAAATATGACTACCACTTAGAAAAAATAGTTAACGAATGTAAATGCCAACCTTCTTGCCCACCATACAGAATTCACCACCTTTTGTGCTACAGTTAGCAAAATGTGAGATTATAATAAAATGGACTATCCTTCCCACTTACCACTTCTCCACAAGGTTTAGTTTTTGATCTCATAGCTTCCAAGAGAAGAAAATAATCCCAAGAATATAATCATAAGACAGAAATGTTCACAGGTTATTTATAAATAGCCAAAAGAACTAGACAAAGCATCCAACAACAGAAAGCCAGCTAAAATTACAGTGAATCGTCACAGTAATTACCAAAATTGTTTTTCCCAGATTATTAAAATGGTGAACTCCTCAAAACAAATGGGTAAAAGTGTGGGTACTTAATTATATCATCTCAATTTTGTAAAAATAAATGTGTATAAACACAAGTCTGGTAAGAGAATAATTCAGTAACCTCTCAATGGTGGTATGATTTCATGTCAATTTATAATTTCTAAAATCTATATACAATGAGCACATACTTCATAATTAGAAAAATATTTTAAAATGTTAAAACCACAAAATTATATAACTCTGCAAATATACCCCATATATATAACATGAGAAACAATATTCTATTACTGGAATCACAGAGCAATGAGCAAGGAACATGACAAACCCAAGTTCTAATTCATTCTTAAACTTTAAAAAAGTGTCATGGATTCAGTCTTAAGATAAATCCTTGCTTAAATTCCTGTGGGAGACAGCCAGCTATTGAGGATTTCAGAAAATAATCAGATTATAATAACTAATCAAAAAAATGACGAGTCATTACACCTTGAACCAAAACTATCCAGTGGAGTCATTTTTAAAACAGTTTAAGCTCAGTTATATTTGCACTGAGCACAGCACTCTTCCATAGAATTATCTGTGAAATCAAACTGACAAAACAGTAACCGTGACGCACAGATGAGAACGTGCTAGAAAGTCTAAGTTAATGGTGGTGAAACAATATAGGTAGAGAATGTCAAAATAATGTCAAGTATGTAACCTTTGTTATTAACTTGCACATGTCAAAACTTGGGTGTTTTGTCATGGGTATTTTCACCAAATTTTTTTTTAAAGTCCATTTGTTGTTGTTGTTGTTGTTATGTGCCGTCGAGTCGGCCCCGACTCATAGTGACCCCTCCTTGGGTTTCCGAGGCAGTATCACTACGGAAGTAGGATTGCCCAACCTGCCTTCTGAGGAGTGGCTGGTGGGTTTGAACCGCCAGCCGTCTGGTTAGCAGGCAAGTGTCTTAGCCACTATGCTACCAGAGCTCCCAAAGTCCATTTAGAAAGAGGTAAAAATTGTTCAAGCAGAAAAGAATGGTCAGAAGCTATTTTGAAAGTTATCACAAACCACAGCCACAACCATCGACTTGATTCGGACTCACAGCAACCCTTTCTAGGACAGAGTAGAACTGCCCCACTGGGTTTCCAAGGCTGGAAATCCACGGAAGCAGACCACCTCATCTTTCTCTCGCAGAGCAGTTAATGGGTTCAAACCGCCGAGCTTTTGGTTGGCGGCAGAATGCTTTAACCACTGCGCCGCCAGCACTGTATTTTACTCAATAAATACTGAGCGAGTCCTAAATGATGAGATGACAAGCAAGGAGGAAGAGGAAAGTGAAGACAGAGTAGTCCAGACATGGGGAGCAGGGAGGGTAGAGTGCGAGTAAATCGCAGAGTGTGGAACTAGTTGATTACAAGTCCAGGAAGGTGTTGGACCAAGTCGGGGGAAAAAAGATGCTTTCCTGAACACACGTGCTAAAAGGCCTGGATTTGTGGCTGCCCTCTTTGCAGGAGCTCTGGTGGGTGTAGCGCTAAAGCATTTGACTGCTAACCAGAAGGCTGGCGGGTCAAACCCACCAGCCACTCCTCGGAAGGAAGGTTGGGCAATCTACTTCCGTAGTGATACTGCCTCGGAAACCCAAGGAGGGGTCCCTATGAATTGGATCTGACTCAAGGGCAATGAGTTTGGTTTTTTTGGTGTCTCTTCACCACAAAAAGAAATGGCTACACAAGCACCTTATAACCAATTCAAAAAGTAATGCTTATGTAGGAAAAGACAAAAACCTTTGCTGACAATGATTAACAGGACTGAACACTTTATAATTGGTGGTGGGACGAGGGGGAAATCCAAATTAATTTTAATTTTCTAGACTTAGGGTAACCATAGGAACCCCATAAAATAAAGTGATCTCTGACCATTCAGAAGGCAATTTCAGATTCTTGACATGTACCTCACAGGATTGTTGTTGTTGTTGTTATGTGCCGTCGAGTCAAACCCGACTCACAGCGACCCCTCCTTGGATTTCCGAGGCAGTATCACTACGAAGTAGGATTGCCCAACCTTCCTTCCGAGGAGTGGCTGGTGGGTTTGAACCGCCAGCCTTCTGGTTAGCAGGCAAGTTGTCTTAGTCACTATGCTACCAGAGCTCCCACCTCACAGGATAAGCAGCAACAATTAACAGTATGCTGCTGGTGAAAGGCACAGTAGTAGCTGACATGTGATGAGTGCTTACTTCCTGCTAAGCAATGTTCTAGGTAACTCACTTGTACCCCCATCTAGCCATCTGAGACAGCTACCATTATTAATTCAATTGCACATCAAGAACAAGGGCCCAAGGTCACACAGCTGGTAAGTGCGGTATAGCCAGGACCGCCACCCAGGCACAACCAACCAGGCTCTTAACCACTACGATAAACTCACTGCTGTCGATAAACTCACTGCTGTCGAGTCGGACCCGACCCCTAGCGACGACTCCTTGGGTTTCCGAGGCGGTATCACCGCGGAAGTAGATTACCCAATCTTTCTTCCAAGAACCACTATGCTAGAAAATACTAAATAAATTCATTGTTACTGTTTTACCTCCCCGCCCAAAAAAAAGGGAAAAAAATGTGGTGTTTTAGTCATTCTCCTACAGAGTTGCTGGTGACATCAAAATGTGGCCGAGAGGAAAGAGAAAAGGAGACTGTACTCCAAACAGCGGCCTGACACACATTCTTTAGCTTTAGAGCTATCTCCACTCCTCAAAACATGGCACATTATTCTGCTCTATGGTCAAAGCAGACAATGGAACAGGAAAGTAACTGGATTTCATGAAACTTAGACCTGAAGTAGACACATTAAGAGTTTTTAATTTGCCAGATATTTTTTAATGAGAATTATAAAAGACAAAAACATCCTTTTTTGCAAACTGTCTTTTTTAAACAAATGATTTGCTTTTAATTACAAATACTGTGAAGACAATACCTTCTTTTGCAAAACCAATAAATATAAGAACAAATTTTAAACATGTGATTTATTCAAGATATCTGAAAAAAGAAAACTAAGCCTGATTTTTTTTTCTGTTTTTAAAAATCAATTTATTCTCTAACCTTTCAAAGAATAAATGTGAAGGTATGACTCACATGGGAAGGGAAAAAAGAGACACACCATTTTATAACTGTTTTAGATAACTTTTGATAATTCTTCCAATGCTATCTTTTCTTTCTGGAAAATACCTGAATTTAAAATATTTCTAATCAACTGATTAATGGGGGAAAGGAAAATACCAAACACACATGTATAAACTTCACCATAAACAATTATGCATATCAAAAAGACACTAACTTTAAAAAGGTACAAAAAAAGTGAGGAAAAACATGAATTACAGAAAAGAAAGTCAAATTTATTTATTTAATGAAAAACTAGAATTAATAAAAATTAGCAAACACACGCACACAAAGAAAATACACAGCAGCACTATGTAGTGACTCACAGAGGGCTCGGAAAGCAGTGGTCCGGGACCACTCCACATGGCTTGTCAGTTAAAGGGGGAGGAAGAAAACCAAACACACACATACACACACACATGTGCGCGCACACGCAATTTAAAAAAAAAAAAAAAAACATTTTCAACAGTACAATCAATCTACAACAAACACAAATTCAGAATTATTTTACAATGCTTCCTGCAGAATCAACTTTCTTAATACAAAAGATGCCCATCTTGGGAGTATATATATTTTTTTCAGTGGTTTACTGTTGACTTATTTTAAATATATTAGCGTTACTACATGCAACTGTTTCCTGTATTAACAGCTTTCCTTTTATTAACTTTCATGTGTCTAGCTTCCACCTACCAAAATAGTTTCAGGTCGGCAGACTGATGGGTGCCTTATTCTCTGTGAAACTGAATGCAACAGTTTTAAACACTGGCCAGAAAATGTCTGGTTGCCATTTTAACACATGGAAATAGTTACATTGATGCCTAAATTGCCATTTTCTGCAAAAAGCTGTGCAATGCTGGTGTCAAAGACTAGGCAGTCACTATTCATAATGGCTGTTGCAATTCCCTCATGAATAGATCGAGGAGTTGCTTCCCAAGTCAATCGCCGCCTATGACCATTTAGCTCAAGTCGGTAAGCAAAATTTTCAGCTTGCTTGCGTGTTCCTATCAGCTGTACAATGGCGAAGAACTGCTGGTGACCGTCATATTTTTCCTGTTTCTCCAAGACTAACATGAAGTGAAAGCCAAAACAGGACTGCATCATCACCCAGTCAACAGCACCAGGAAGATTAATGTCTGTAGCAAGGAAAACTATGTCCTCTCCCTGCAGGGTTGTAATGGACTTATGCTGATGCATCAGATGGGGCATCACAGCATCCAGAGAGCCTTGCCATTTACAGGAAGCACCAGGGCACGGACAGGAGTAAGGCCTAAACTCACAGAGCTCTTCGTGGTCTGCTTTTTCTGTGTGTGGCAGAGTTATTTCACATCCAGAAGAGGCATATTTACAAGGGAAAAGTACTGAATTGGCCACTTTCTCCATAGCCAAGTTGCGAATGGACCCCAAAGGGCCCCGGCAAGTTGGACAACATGTGAGCTTTGGGCGACAGTTGCTACAAACAAGATGGCCACTCTGACACTGAAGAATGGGTGGTAACACATAGTCAAAGCAGACTGGACACTCAAAAAGACTCGCCAAGTCATTGTTGGATGCAGTTGTGCCCGTCAGGGCAGGCACCCTCTGGGATGGTGTACACTTTGAAGTACCAGTAGGTAATGCTGTAGCAGTCTGACGGCTCATTTCTGTAAAAAAAAAAAGAAAGAAAGAAAAATATAGTTACAACTCTAACTTCTCTTACAAATAATATGTACATGTCAAATATTTTCACTATAAGCAGAAGAACAAAGGAAAACACATGGGGTTAAAAATAGAAGATAAATTACAATAAATGTGGATTTTGATTATTAGGAATTGTACTCTTTTCGAAATATTCCAGAATACATTTAGAGTTCCCTTAAAAAGATTTTTTTTAAATGGTCTTTGTTGCCAATTCCAAAACCACACAGAATAAGAGATGCTGGCTGACAACAGAAACTGAACCATAGAAACTAAGAAACACTACACAAAACCAAACAAACTCACTGCCATCACGTCGATTCGACTCATAGTGACCCCAAACCAACAATGATGTAAGAGCGCTTTCCCTAAAACAGTAAAATAGGCTAGATATTAACCTTGTTACCTAGTGAATCAGTGTCTCCCCTCATGAGAGGCCATCCTCAAAGGAAAGTTATGGCTAGTACTCAGAGAAAGTAAATCATTCTGTTCATTCCACATCAGAAAAAATAATGTGCAAAAGAGCGAGACAGCCAGAGAAAGAATTAAGAGAAAAGCACCACAGAGGCCCACAGAACACTGGGGATGGGGCTCAATGGTAAAGAGCTCCTTGCAGCCCGGAGGTCCCCCCACCATGCTACTACACATTCATTAGCAGCGTAATAAACATTATTCAAGAGCTAAATGGTATCTGGGAGAAATGATCAACAATGGAACTAACTAAACAAACAAACGAACAAAAAAACAAACTCCCTGCCATCAGTAACTTCCAACCCCTTTTGGGTTTCAGAGGCGGTAGAGCTCTACGAAAGTGGATTGCCCAGTCTTCCTTCCTAGGAGCGCCTGGTGGGTTTGAACTGCCAACATTCTGGTAGCAGTCAAATGCCTTAGGCACTACACCACCAGAGCTCCTTATGGAACTAATGAGTCAGGGCAAATCAAAGACAAGCCAGCACCTTCTCCCTGGGATCTACCTTTGCAGGGATATGACAGGGTGTGTGTGCACGTGTGTGTGTGTGTGTGTGTGTGTGTGTGTGAGAGAGAGAGAGACAGAGACAGACACACAAAGATCAGTCTGCTGATGTCCTTCTCTTAAGAATGCAACGGTACACTAAGCCACAGGAAATTCATGTTTTCTCTCAGTTATTGTTACTCTGGTGCAAAGAACTTATCTTTTAAGAAACAAGGCTAGTTACCAACATGACCATGTAAATTCAGTTTGGCTTCTAGATTATTCAGTTGATTACCAAGAGACACCTTAATGGAGGCTGCAGGTGTATTAAAAAAAAATAAAAATAAAAATAAAATAAAGATCTATTCCACTGTTATAAAGGAATATGCTAAAGTATGAGGGGACACAAAAGTAGAGCAGAGCGCCATCATAACATGGCTCATATGAAGAAACCCTGTGTAACCTAGGTATTCCGTATCTCGGCTATAAAGGAACTCTACTGTAATCCAGTTTCCCTCTGTGTATATTCTTTGCATGTCTGATGAGCCTCCATTTTATATCACTTGTGAAACAATGACCTCAGTATTGCCAAAACGCTCTAAAAATCATCTGTCTGTGTGCTGAATGCCCAGTGAGCAACGTAATACTGCAAAGTGGTTCTTTGAGCACAAAACAAGCCCAAGGCAGCAATGGCTTTCAAATTACCGAGTCAATACAACTAATCACATCAAAGAGCAGTAAACTCAGTTTGTCTTCAATGTAACAAAGCTACTAAGCAAGCTGCCTGACTTAGTAAAATAGTTCCGACTCAGTTATCAATAGTTCAGATTCACGTTAAAATATTTTTCCAAACGTTGTAAAAGTACAATTTTTATTCCTATTCAAAGTGAAAATCAGTGAAATGTAGCCAGTATTTCTTGTGATTGGCTGTATTACAGATTAGCCAACTGCTTTAAAAAAAAAAAAAAAAAAAACACTCAAAACTCTAAAGGTGGGAAACCTGTTTCCCCACCATACAGCAGCCTTGCAGTAGAAACCACGGACGCATGCGTCTTTGGACAATCTTGCAGAAGTCATAGCAAAACCTCAAGTTTGATTTAAAAGGAGATTAAGTGAAACATCACTGCTAACCTTGGGGTAGAGCTGCACACCATGCCAGAGCCATTCCCTCCCTGATCCAGTCAAACTCCTCTGACTTACAACAACTTTGAAGTTTCACAATTTAAGCAATCCAACAACCCAGCCTCTTAACGTCGATACCTTTTCTCTTCCTTGTCCTAGCTGCTGGTAAACACGTGCGCAAGACTCCCCTCCAGGAGTATAGAAAAGGCAAAGCAGGCTTCCCCGTCATGAGAAGTCATTGCGTTTCCTCAAGCAGCAAATAAAATTTATAACAGAAGTCCTCCTGGACACCTTCTGTTACTAAGCATAGAAAATGCAAAGTCTTGTCAAAGATCAGGTTTCTCAGGAAACGAAGATAGGTGTCCTGCTCTCTACACTCCTTTCACTCCTCCTCAGAGAGCAAAGAAATGAAGCGTTTCCGTCCTAAGATCAGTCGACCACACCTCCGTAATCGCTCAAATTCGCCTGCGTCTCCAAAAATGGGAGCCATCGCTGAGCTGGGCCTCTGTGCCCTAAACCTTCGTCTATCTCGGACGCTTGTCTCCCCCAAATTCATTACTAGGCTCCCTCCAAGACTGAGTAAAGGACGAGACTGTATGGGGTGCACGGCAGTGGCTGGAGAGAAAGAGGTGCGCTCTCTGAGCTAGGTCTGGAGCTTCTGTAGGGTCCAGCCAGCAGTGGAAGAAGAGCCATTTACAGCCAAGCGCTGGAGCTGCAGCGCCGACAGCCTGCTGCCTAGCTCCAACCAGGGGCGCCAGCCCAGAACTTGCCGCGCCCAGGGCGGCGGCCGCCGCGTCTCATGGGGGCGGGGCCACGCGGGGGCGAGGCCACAAGAGGACGAGCTAAAACTCCGCCCGCAGGCCGAGGCGACTCCCCGGCTCCTCTGCAGGCCCGGGCTGGCTGCGCCAACGCTGACCAGAAGCAACCCGGAATGAAAGCGGGTGGCCCTGGAACTCTGGCGGTGCTGTGCCGCCTCAGCATTTCCACCGGTTTGGATTGTATCATGCCATTTTTGTGGGTCAAAACGGCGAATGGCAATGTCACATGGGAAATGTGTCCTCAGACTTAGGCGCTCTTGTATTTCCTCAATTCTAACGCACGTTCCATTTCCACCTGTCTGGACCAGTATGTACATTTAACATGGCAACGTATCTTATCCCATGCTTTTTTACTTACAAAGTAAGGAAATACAGATAGTACATGCCCCCCCCACCCCTCTCGTTTACACAGGAAAAACTAACTTAAATAATCTTGCCTCGTTAAACTTACAGTAGCTTGTTCTGTCATATTCTTAAACCATAAAGTACATAAATCCTCAGGCAAATATGAAAATAAGTTTATTTTGGGGGCATTAAGAAACAAGACCACCAACATCCTCAACGCCATCTCATGAAAAGACTTTGCAGTGAGAGCAGTCAGCACACTGAAACCAAATTAACCAACTTCAATCTTCAAATTGAGATTATATTCTCTTCCCACTCTGGGAAAGCTATCTTAAATTGCCTCATTAAACTTACAGTAGCGTGTTTTGTTTTTAAACAAGCATTACCCTTGCCCCAATAAAGTCCTGGGCCTCAGACTATATTGCATCAGCTAGGCCATCCAGGAGTTTAACCTATCATTACATCATGCTTAGAAAAGCCTTTAAACTCAACAAGAGCTGGTAGTGAGAACCAGTGAACTCTAACACAATAAACTGTAGATTGCCCACTTTCCAGCAACAAATTGTAACACTAATCACTTCCCCACCCTAAACGTGTGTGTTTGATCTCTTGGAACTCATCATTTAACAGTAGGCTGCACAAAACATCATTATGGAATATATGTGAACTACGAATGAATACAGATACAGTCCATTCCAAAAGACAAATGGGGAGCTCTGGTAGCATAGTGGCTAAGACACTTGCCTGCTAACCAGACGGCTGGCAGTTCAAACCCACCAGCCACTCCTCGGAAGGAAGGTTGGGCAATCCTACTTCCGTAGTGATACTGCCTCGGAAACCCAAGGAGGGGTCGCTATGAGTCGGGGCCGACTCAACGGCACATAACAACAACAACAATACCCATTCATTCTAGGTAAGTCTTAGAGATATGACACAGAAGACTTCAAACATTTTCAGCAGCAGAACTCTTCTAAACATAATAACTGTATAAAATGAACATACAAAGTAAGCTCATGACTCCCAAAGGAGCTGCAGAGAGTCCTAGAGCACACACTGAAAACAACGGGTGGATAAATGCCTCAATCTAACAGGTGATCATGGGAGTCAAGATGGTCAAAGGGGTAGAGTTTTGGAGTCACTTCAACTTGGATTCCAATCCACACTATAAAACTGGGATAATTTCCAGCTTCACATGGCTTTTAAGCAAAAATAGGTAATTTATATACATTATACCCTTGCCATTCAATCGATTCCAACTCACAGTGACCCTGTTAAGACAGGGACAAACTGTCCCACTGGGTTGTTAAGGCTGAAATCTTTATGGAAGCAGACCATCACAACCATCTTCCACAAAGCAGCTAGTAGATTCGAACAGCCAACTTTTCGGTTAGCTAAACACCACTTCACCAGAGCTCCTCTATGTATTTATAAACCCACAGCCACAGAGTTGATTCCAACTCACAGTGATCTTTATGGAAGCAGAATGCTGCCTCATTTTTATCCCAGGGAGAGGCTGGTAGGTTTGAACCACCAACCTTTTACTTAGTAGCCAAATGTTTTACCCGTTGCACCATCAGAGCTCCTACATATGCTATACCAAAACCAAACCAAACTCACTGCCATGGAGTCAATTCTGACTCACAGCAACCCCCAATGAATTTCCAAGACTGTAAATCTTTATGGAAGCCAACCACCTCATCTTTCTTCCACCGGGTGGCTGATAGGTTCA